TTATCCCTTGATGGGCTACAATTAAGGGCTTCTCCAAATTCATTGTTCATGAGTGGTGCTCTCTGCTTCAAGAACTGAAGAAAGTCCAGAAATCTGGGCCTCTGACCAGACTCGATTAACCTACCCGCACACTCGATCCACTTGACCCTCATAAACAACGGAGGCTTCCTGTTTAGTTCTCGAAGAGTGTTTGTATGGTTTAAATACTCACATACTCAGGTCCCATGCCAGTAAGGGCTCTCTCAGCAACTTCTAAATGCCTCGAAAATTCTAGAAGGCTTTGTCCATCTGCTTGCTTTAGAAGAGGTAAGTTCTCAAGTTTCTTGATATGTGCTTTCGCTATGATGTGAGGTTTGCCAAAGTTCTCACGCAAAGTGTTCTTTGCAACATAATAACCTTCTTCCACGGGTAGTTTCACACAGCTTTCAACTGCCTCTCGCGCCTTACCATAATAGTGTTAAATTAGGAGCTATAGTCTCCTCGAATTGTCAGGATTATCTTTCTCTAAACAAATTTCAATTTTGGGAATTGACTGCCTCTTGAAGCAAGTCACTAGTGATGGAAGAGGAGGGATCAGATGGAGTTTGACCAGTGTCTTGGAAGATCTAGATTATGCTGATGATATTGCGCTTCTTGCCCACCGACACCAAGACATGCAGGCAAAGACCAACGCCTTGGCAACTACAGCAGGGAGCTTGGGCCTTAAGATCAATACCCAGAAAACAAGGCACCTTAGGATGAATAGTAGAACCAATGAATCCATCATGGTGAATGGGGATGTAGTAGACGACGTTGATCACGTTACTTACCTAGGGTCCAAGTTATCTACCAGCTGAGATGGTGAAGAAGAGATCCAAGTCCGGATTTCAAAGGCAAGTCAGGCTTTTGCTGCGCCTCGTGGCACTTGGAGATCCAAAAGCCAGAAGACTAAGATCCGAAACTTTAAGAGCAATGTCTTAAGCACTCTACTGTGTGGCGCAAGATCCTGGAAGATGACCAAAACCATCAGTCACAAGCTAGAAGTCTACCAGAACAGGTGCCTGCGTAGTATTCTTCGTATATACTGGCCCCAGAGAATCTCAAACTACGAGTTGCGTAGAAGAACACGAACAGTACCAATCACACAGCAAGTCCAGAAGAGGAGATGGAAATGGATTGGGCATGTGCTGCGCATGCCACCAGCAGCACTACCACGAGTTGCTCTCAGATGGACCCCTGATGGACGTAGGAAGAGAGGAAGACCGAAAGAAACCTGGAGGAGGACGGTGGAAAGGGAAATGAAGGACAAAAACTGGACTTGCNAGTATGTTAATATCGTGTCAAGCAATAGCTTAGAAATTTAACCTTGCTTTATCACAACAAGAAAAACCCAATCAAACTGAAAATTTGTCAAAAGATAAGAATTCAACTGTTCTATTAACTTACTAAACTAAAATCTCATAAGGATCGATAATTCCCTGTTTCTAAAGTTGATGACGTCACGTGAAAACCAAGAATTAAATTCCGTGGCTCAATAGCCCCGGACGCTAAATCAAATTTTACGTTTTGCTCAACTCTCGGACATTTTTATGCAGAATGGTTGGACATCATCAGTTATTCATGAGCACTAAAGCGGAAAAAGTGAATGCAATAGCGCCTGGAAAAGCCTAGGGGAATGGGAGAAAGGGCTGAGACTAGCCCAGCAGCATTGATAAATCTCGCTTTCCCGATTTCCAGAAGCAATACGTTAGAAATCCAAGAGTGGCTTTTTAAGAGGATGGGTTTATCGATATTTCAAACTTAAAAGGGAAAAGTTTAGAGAAGTATAAAGACTTCCGTAACCTTTGGAAATGACGAGAAAAAAACCGACAGTTTTAGTTGAAGGCCTATTTAATAAGCGATCTGTTTTAATAAAGAAGACCGACACAACATGTCAACTACAATTAGACGTGAAGCTTGATATTCCTTCGGGGGACAATATGTCGTGACGAGCGGGTACACGTCGATTGAGAGACAATGAATTGAATAAATGATCGAATAAAAAAAAATTTTATATATACATATTTATATATATATATATATATATTAAATAACTTAATAATTGCATTCATGGTGAGTAGTTTTAAGGATCAATCTACAAGCTTTTAACTTTTCCATGGCCTTTTTGCAGATGCAGATTTACCTCCAATTAAAGGAAAAAGCTATAAAAATTATGGTTATAACGATTTGGATAACTTAACTCTTCCCTTTCAGCTTTCAAGGCCGTTTTTACAAATCTCAACGCCCATGGAAGAACTGGACCAACAGCGCTGGGCCGTCACTACACAGGACAGGATCATGACGGACAAGTTACTCTGTCCAGCGGTGTTCAACAGTGGACTGTGCCGCACACTGGTGACTATAGAATAGCAGCAATAGCAGCTGCAGGCGGGTACGATATACAAACTAACAGCACTCAGTACCGGGGAAGAGGAGCAAGAATGATTGGAACGTTCCGCTTAAACAAGGGTGAAGTCATTCAGATACTTGTTGGTCAAGAAGGAGGAATAAACACAGTCAAGCGGTCTTCTGGAGGTGGTGGAGGAACGTTTGTGGTGAGAGGAACCAACACACCTTTGATAATAGCTGGGGGCGGAGGAGGAGTATGTGGAGTTAGGTCTAGACATGAAAGATGTGACGCCAGCACGAGCACAACAGGGAATTCTGGACACAAATCATGGTCAGAGGGGGGCAATGGACATGGTACACAGACTGCCGATGATCATGGTTCAGGTAAGAGTATATTGTAATGTTTTCTTACGTCTTAGCTGTTAATTTTATATTATTTCAGTACCATATGATAGCGAGCGCTCTCATTGGCTTATAATTTATGAAAAAGAAATGGATGGTTGATAGAGATGGTTCAGACTGATGTGATTGTCGGCGAAAATTTCCTATCGAGTTTACCCGCTAGGTTTCAAAACTTTCAAGATTGTTTTCCCGTGAACCTTTTGGAGCTCTATTTGAAAAGAAAATGTGCTAAAATGATAATTGTTTCGAAAAACAATCAGGATGTAGCTGTGCAACGGAATTAGTCTTGGAATCGACGATACTTTATTTGCCAAACGCGATGCATGAATGTGGCTGAAAAACAAAACTGAGTTTTTTAACTTCAACTGAGGCTTCGCGACATTGGGGTAAATATTATTTTGAAGAGCTGATGCATGTACGTCGCAAAAGTGTTGTTCAATAGATGATTTTCCTTGGAAATCGTACAATTTTTAAGATTTTCAACACAAAGCAACGCAATTTCTGATCGTTAATTCTGGTAACCAACAATTCAAGGAGGTAAATCTATTACATAGAACTCGTAAATTTAGAAAATTTCCCCTTAGTTTTCTTCAACGGCCGATATTTTTTTTAGTGTTGCATTGTGAACTCCGAACGCTACAGTTGCTCCAGGCTGCGCTTCGAGCAACTCCTCTCTTGTGCTCTCCAAACTATCCGCGTACACCATAACTCTAAATATGCATCGTGGGCACATAAATCTTAAATAAATATCGGATAAAATATAAATATCTCGAAATAAATAAAAACATCTGCGGTGCGCTGAAATATCCATATATCAAAAAAAGAACTTTTGGAACAGCAATCTCGCATATCGGGTTTTCCTGACTTGTTGTAGTTGAGATCAATTGTCTGGTGTTTAAAACAAGGCAGCGGTCTCGCTACACATGCTTAGCCGCGGTGTTTGGATGTCTCTGAGTAATGACCACCGGTATCCGATAAGCTTTCGGGTTGTTAAAATTAATGCGTCTTTATCCTTCTCAGT